CCCCAAAACCCCAAAACCCCAAAACCCCAAAACCCCTTATATAGAGATTTTATTGGATCATTTAATAAATTATTTTTAATGAAAGAATATCCTCCTGATAAATTGGAAAAAACTAGAGAATCTCAGAATACCCTATTACTCAAGGAATTTGATCACTTAGATTTAAATTCATTGACTGCGTCAGAAATTCAGAGTAATATAGATGAAATATGCATGGAAGTAGACACTTTGGAGAGCATACTATTGTCAGAGATTAAGGTTCATGACGATTTCTATCCTACTGTGACAGTTCAGACCAACCTGGGGCCTTGAGATCTCATAGTTTATAAAACAATTACCCTTCAGATCTTCCCAGAGGAATCGATTCCTACAAAGCTCACCAAAATAATGTCTGAGGAATCAGAGTCTGAAGGAACAGATGATACAGAAATTAAGGAAGAGAAGAAGGTGAAGGTGAAGATCAGCAATATCACTAACCTTCCTTCCTTTACAGTAAAGGTGATGCTCCCTGTTTCGTATCCTTCTAGAACCCCACCAATCATCGAGTTGCCTGCAACAGATTTGTTTAAGAAGTGGGAATCAGTAATTATGCCTGAATTCCAGAAAATATATGACTCTGAAGGGTCTACATGTGTCTATGAGTGGTACAACTATCTGCATTGCGAATTTGTAGCACACTTTAAGGAAAGATTTAATTTAGATTCATTAAGTCTGACTGTCACCTCTAAGAAATCCTACGAAGAACTCCAAAGGAAGAGCAGAGACACACTGCAGTACCAGCTCGGTAGAAGAGCACATTGTTGTATGATCTGCTTTAACCATTTCTATGGAAGCTCCCTCTTTGTCATTGCTAATTGAGAGCACTTCTTCTGTAAAGCATGTCTGAAGTTTTACTGCGAGAACCTCATTAGTCAAGGGAAAGTCAATGAGATAAAATGCCCTGAGCTCAAATGTGGCAAGACCATTTCAGATAGCGACCTCGAGCTTATAGTCTCTGATGAATTTTATAAGAAAATATTCAAGTTTAGATTTGCTAATGAAATCGACCTAGCTGAGGACAAGACCTGGTGCCCTGAAGAAAACTGTGATGGCGTTGCAAGGATTGTTGGGGGTAATTTATTCGGCGAATGCGCCAAATGCTACTTCAGGTTCTGCCTCTCCTGCAATCACTTCTATCACTCTGGTAGGAGATGCCCTGTACTAAGTCTTGGGAGGAACCAGTTTGCCAAGATGACAAAGAAACAGCAAGAGGAATTTTTAAAGGAAAAATTAAATGATTTCTATGTCTTAAAGCACTGTAAGAATTGTCCAAATTGCCATGCCAGAATCTCAAAGATCTCTGGATGTAACAAGATGGTATGCAGAGAATGTGGAATCTACTTCTGCTGGAAATGTCTCTCTATCATTAAAGGATATGACCACTTCAATTTAAACCCTGACTGTTGGGACTTCACAGATACCGATGTCGGATATCTAACAAATAAAGAGGTAGATGAAGTAAAAGAAACCATTGATGATAGAGATATGGAGAACTCAGTTAAATGTCCACATTGTGATAGAGTCGTAGAGAAGACCAATTCTAGTAACTACTTAAGATGCTCAGCTTGTTTTACACACCTCTGTTTCTACTGTGGTAATATGGCTGAGAAGGACCATTATGAGAAATATTCTTGCTTTAGCGTGACCAATCTGGCTAAACACAGAACAGTAAACATTATTGCTGAAGAAATAGGATGGTAAAATTCTTGAATCTAAATGGCTCTTTTTATCAATTAATCTAAGTTTTTTGGGGTTTTGGGGTTTTGGGGTTTTGGGGTTTTGGGGTTTTGGGG